CTGAGGGTGTACACCTCGGCCATGATGCAGCCCACAGCCCAGATGTCAATGGGGGAGCTGTAGTTGGTGGACCTCAGGAGCACTTCGGGGGCCCTGTACCTGGAGGGACAAAGGGGCACTGCCTGTTACTGCCTCCACTGGTCAGAGCAAGTTAAATATGTCATCAGCTCTCAGGGAGAGAGCTTACACATTTCCACTATCTGTGTAGCTCAGTGTGGTACATGCAGGCATGGAGATCGGCAGCTGCTGTCAAAAAGCAATGCTTCTCTATCTTAGGGTCATTTCTATTGCACATGTCTCTACAGGACTCCTCTCTGCAGCCTCTTTGAGAAATGCAGAGTGAGAATAAAAGCGAGGAAGAGAGAGAGAGGGAAGAGGAGAGGGAGAGGGAGAGGGAGAGGGAGAGGGTGAGGGAGAGGGAGAGGGAGAGGGAGAGGGAGAGGGAGAGGGAGAGGGAGAGGGAGAGGGAGAGGGAGAGAGAAAATGTAAAACATTGTCTGTAGGCTACTTCTTGCTCATGGCCAACTACTTAAAGCAAATTCTTAGGGTCTGGAAGTTTTAATAATAGCAGTTATTCAGATAGGTCTTTGGAGAATCTTTTACACAACTCTTTTGTAAATGGTCTTTGCGAAGGTCTATAAAATATGACTCATATTATGGAAAAGCATAATGGATTTCCTTTAAAAATTATTTCCAACACAAGCTTTTAACCCTTGCACAATGCCAACATGCTTACACATATGTTGTAAACCGCACTGTTTCTCCTCGTGAAAGTTAATGTTTGTGACATGAATAGCACCCTCAGTATAATGACATATTTTTAAAGAAATGTAATCAAATACTTTTGAAGAAAATGGCATTCACCATCTGGTAGATACGTAATCTGTGTATGGAGGTCTGGATCGGATTTCCCGGGCCAATCCAAAGTCTGCGATTTTCACAAGATCTGGTCCCATGCAGAGCAGGTTCTCAGGCTTTAAGTCCCGATGGAAGAAGCCTGAGAGAAAGCGGAGAAGGAATCCAAATGCAAGCTGGCCTCTGCGTTATACTCTTCCCAGCTGTATCGCTCTTTTCATAACTGCCATAATTTGAATTATAATTCAGGTATGACACTGAAGGCTCTATACATCCATCCTACTGATAGAGTCCTTCAGACCTCTCAAAGGACTTCATTCATTTCCCTTTGATGAATTCAAGACGTAAAATTATTCCAAAGTTGATCATCATACTTTTTTTTTTCCAAGAGAGAAAACTTACTCTAAAACATCAAAAATTTTATATTGGCAATTTATACTTCTATACATCTGTCAAGAACAAGACATAAAAAAATCTTCAAAGAGTTCTTCCCTAGTTTCTGTATCCGATTCTCATTTCATTCCTTGTTTTCTTATTTTTTAAAAAGCCTTAATAGCTGCATAATATCATCATTTGGATAAATTATCTCTGACATACCAATTCTTCTATTTGAGCATTTAAGCTGTCTTTTCATTTTTCACTATTATAAATAAAAGTTGAATATAAAAAATTAAAAATAAATAAGTAAAATATCAAAACTCAATTATGGGCTGAGGGCATGGGCAAAAAAACTGAAAAACAGTTTGCAAAAAAACTGTCATTTAAGGAAAAAAATATCATTTCAAAAGATGAGTCTTATGGGTACTAAGAGTTTATACCACAGCAGAAACACAATTACAATTTTTGTTCAAGAAACAAGGGATTAAAAAAAAAAGAAAGAAAGAAGCAAGGGATTTATGAATAGGACTTACACATAGCTGAGATTCTGCTGTGTGTTGCCACAGATGTTTAAGTATTAAATACTACTTTGCCTAATGAAGAAGTAGAGGTGCAGCTCATGTCTTGAAAGGCAAAGCTAACTCATCAGATGGGAAGCTGGCCTCAGCTTTAGCAAAGCTTTGGGGGTACACGCAGCAGACATTCAACATGCCAACCTTCCAGGCGCACTCAGACACCCACTGTCAGTGGTATATGCCTCTGAAAACCCAGAACCCCCCACTTACAGAGGGCATTGCTGACATAGACATCTTAATCTCAATGGGACACCCAAACTGGAATACAACTCCGTTGATGCTGCTCACAGTGTTATTTGTTATGTGCTATCATTATCAAGGTTGTGAAAGTTAGGATCCAACTAGCGCATTATGGGAGAAGTTAATAGCCATCACTGAAGATCTACACTATTCCTCAACCACCTCTCTGCTGGTAATGCACATCTCTAATGTCCTCCTCCACCCTTTTCTCGACCTATGTCTCTCATGATCGCAGCTGAATATCACTGTCATCTCCACATCAGCCTGTCCCAGACTCTCTCTCCTTCTTGAACCTTTGATAAGATACCCAGATGCCTCATGGTTAGGTTGGATCCTAACTGTCACATTTCTCATCAAAATCCCTCATATCTGTCCCCTGTGCCCTTGCTCATTGGCACCTCCCAAATCCTACCTCTTGCGGCCTATCCCTGCACTGCCCCTTTCTAGCAGGCCGTCCTCACTCTAGCTTGCTGGATTCCCACTCTTCCTGATAATTCAAACACCGTTCTTTCACTGTCCCATCCACAAATACACACAACAAAAACCTTCCATGGCTCCTTATAAAATTATTTAACAATCCTGAAACTCCTTTCAGTCTGTCGAAAGAGACAAAATTATTTTCCAACTAGTAGCCCTGCGCACGAATCTGTGTGCGAGTAGCTCGCTGCTGCTTGCCTCAGCTGGCCACCCGCCCACTGCCGATGGTAGCTCTCTTCTGCTCATAGCTCGCTGCCCCGCCCTCCTGTAGCTCTCCACCACTTGTAGATTGGTTGTGACATTATGGTATAACAGATAATTAGCATATTCCTCTCTTATTATATAGGATATTTACTGCCAATATGTGTAAAGTGTGTTCCAAACAAGTAAAATTCCTCATTTTCTTTTGGTTCATTGTATTTATTTCCTTTAACAATGTTGTCCCCTTGTACTTTTTGATTATACCAATCCCAATCTTTCTCATGCTTTAAGATTTTCTTTGGGTTTCCCTTCCTCCATGAAGCCATTCCAATATATTAGCATTCATTCATTTATTCATTCATTCTACCAATAGATATTCAAGGAGGGCCCACTCCATGCCAGGCACTGGGTTAGGCTCCATGGATTCAGAAGCAAAATCCAAATGGACATGGTTTTTGCCTTGGTAGATGTAATAGGCCCTCCCTAGTAAACCTGAGCAGAGTGCTATCGTTTTCAGGCATGTTAACCATCTCTCAGAAATTAGATGTAGCACTTTAAGGGTAGGGGCCACAGTTATATTTCTTCTGGATGTCTCATGCAGTGGCCAGAGCATGGTGTCCTCATAACATATTCTTACTAATTGACCCAGGACTTGAATAGATTTGTAGGGAACGTGAAGACAAATGATGACAAATACACCTGGGTCAAGTAGGGAGGGGCAACAGAGAGCAGACCAGGGCTGTTGGGAAGGTGGGAGGAAGGAAACCTCACAAGACAGCAGCTGAGAACTGAGAGAGAAGAGCGATGACCCTGACGCAGTGTGGGAGACACTAAGGGCTCAGAGTGGGAAGTTCTCGTCACAGAGGGCGTTCCAGCAGGACAGAATCTACTAGTCAAGGTCATTTTCTAAAACCCCTCTGTGTTCGAAAGGAAGAGCTGGGCGACTGTAACGTAGTTATATGTGAAAACTGCACTAGATGTCCTGCATCACAGAAGCAACAGTGTTTTCATAAAAGGACACTCCTCTCTGTTCTTCATTTTGGAGACACCAGAGCTCAGTACGAGGTCAAGCTCCACGTGGTTCGTGTTACAACATAATGATGGGTCTGTAAGGTGAATGGCTGGCTAGATGGACCAGGTGAATATAATTACAGAGCCAAGAACCCAGTCCCCGTAGAAGGCTGAAGGTACAGAAGTGATCGCATACACTCAAGAGGGCCACAGGGGAGAAAGAGGAAGTGCTTCCGTCCACCAATGAGCTGCTTTTCTTTTCCATCATCCAAGGCATTGAGAAGATCAAGCAGTTAGACCTGGATTAGACCAGAGACTGGCACAGCGAATTTTCTATTTGTATAGCATATGTATATGTAGTACATGTATGTGTATAGCTTTGAGTGTTTATATGCATATATGGGTGTAGAAAGGTAGTATACTGTATATATACATATATGTAGATATATAGATATAGATACATACTATACTATACATACTATACATACTATATCTATATCTATATATATATATTCCATTGTTTCATTCCTTATTCTAACATTGTACCAATATATACTTAATGGCCTTCCTCATACTAATTCCTTAAGTTTCCTAACCAAATTAAGAGTAAATTAAACCTAAATTATAGGAAGAACCAAACTTGAGGCTGGTTCAAATTCAAACAGTAATTCAGTATTCGTCAAAAATGGCTTTTAAAATGAAAGAAAGAATTTCAGATGTGGGCAAATTTGGATGGCTTCTGCTCAGCCTAATTAAATAAAGATGATCAGCGCCCACCAGAGTGGGCGAGGTCTCTTCCGAGACTGAGTCACTGTGTTTGGACCCTCTGTTCTTCAGAGCACCATCCAGCTCCCAGAAAGCCCGACGGCATGCTCCTCCCATCTTGGAATTGACTTAAGAATGTGAAAATGCACAAGCAGTTATTAGAGAGTGACCTTTCGTCAGTGCACCCAGGAAGACTCCCGTGGCCCCTGAAGATATATGAACATGAGACCATGGTCAGCATTTCTCAGTGGTTAGAGCATAGGTCCATGCACTGAAGGGTCAAGGGTTCAATCCCCGCCCCAGTGGGGGCGTATGTGGGAGGTAACCAATCAATGTATCTTGCTCACATTGATGTTTCTCTCTCTCCCCCTCTCTCTCTCTGTCTCTCTCTTCCTCTACCCCTTCCCATCCACTCTCTCTAAAAGTCAACACAAAAAATACAATTGGGTGAGGATTAACAACAACAAAAACCAAACACCTCAATGAGAAAAGAAATGGTAGACACTGTTTTCTGACTGAACAGATGGGAGAGGTGAGTCATGGTGGGTGGGTGAATCATTCACAATCCTACCAAGAAAGGTACCACTCTGTCCCTCCCAACCCACACAGCTAATCTAGGTTTGTGGTTCTGGTCTTCTCAGGTCCAGGTTAATGCTGCTTCTCCTCTTAACTCCCCCTCTCTCCTCTTGTTGGGCTAAATTATTATTTCTAAACTTTCGTGGCATTTATGAGTCATTTGTTCTCCAGCCCCCAAGCTCCACTGCCACCATCTACAACACCCACCTCAACACACTTGCATCTTCTCCTGCGCATCCCACCACATCGACCTGTGCTCAGATGCAAGTATTCTCGCATTCCTTGCTTCCTTGCTGGTCATGCTCCTGTAAACACGCACGATCTCCTCCCGCCAGTTCAGCTTTACCCTCTCCCTCTTTAATTCCACTTCCACAGAGAACATGAGCACTAATGAAATGAGGAGAGGGAAGATTCTGGTTCCCCATATGTCCCTCTAGCAGCTTTCTTTTCTATGGATCACACTTCAGGCCCCAAATAAATAATCAGAGGGAAAATGGCTAGGGGGAAAGAAATTAATTGCAAATAGACCCTTAAAATTGGCTGGTGAAAATTGTATCTGTCAGTTGACATGTGTTGTCTGTTATACTGTATTTGAGAATAATCCTTTATAACTAGGAACATTCATGAATATGTCTGCAGAATCTAGCCCTCTGTCCTTTTCATTACTGAATAATGGCAAGAGCTATTATTAGCTTTATGCCCATGCATTCTATTCCTTGGTAATTAAAAGTATAAGGCCCTCCTGCTGTGTACATTTACTTCTCATCTCTATTTTAACAAAACATTACCACATGAGAGGCAATACTGCATAGTAGTAAATTGTGCAGACCAATCAGATCACCCGATTTCAAGTCCCAATTCTGTTCACTGGCTGGCAAATCACGTAACCTGTGCCTCACTCCCTCACCTGTAAAATGGGGGAATAACAGCATCTACCTGCGGGGTTGTTTTGCGGGATTCAATGTGTTAACGTCTGCACAGCTTTTACAGCAGCACTTAGCACGTCGGCATCTGGCCAGAGCTTGTTGGTATTAGTAGTATGAATCCTATCATTTTCTCTTCCCAGCAATAGGCAGACACGGCTCCACTTTTGTAGATGCAAAGAATCAAGGCTGTGAGGCTAGTGATGTGCCCCGCCACCTGTGAGGAGGTGGTGCTGGCTCTGCTCTGATCCCTGGCCGGGTCCACGCTCTGCGGATGCGAGCTTTGGGACTTGTCACAGGAGTCCACTTCTCCCTCTCCACTTCCGATCCACAATGCAAACCCTTAGAGCTGGGTCACTCAGGGGTCACGCAACAGCAAAGTGCTGTTAAGATAAACCTTCCTGTTCAAAACTGTTTGGCTTTCATAATTCAGGATCAGCCCTTCAATCTAATTTCAGGGTCCCCTACGCCAATCGAATAACCGAAGAATTCCCTCTTTCATTCTGGCAGAAAATGCGTTGTGCTTGCTTTTCATTAAGAGCCCGGGGGCAAGGAAACCATGAAGCCACAAAGAAGGCTTTCTCCCCTCTGCCACATCCTGCTAATGATGAACCTGATACGAACATGCGGAAATAACTAGAGAATACTTAACCACGATGAATTCATGTAGCACACCTTCCTGGGACGGGAGGTGTAATTTCACAGATATTACCGAATTGAAACCTACAATGTTGTTATAAAGAAGGCCACGAGGCCAGCAACACACAGAAAGGCCAAGGGCTGACTCAAGGTCATGCACAGGACGACAGTGGTGAAACACAGAAGCAGAGAGCCACTTCTTGGGGCAAAACATTGTTCTCAAGCCAGCTATGCATTTCTGATTACTGGCATGGATGAGTGTGACCTGCATATGTGCAAGGGCAGGTTAAGGAAGAAACACAGTGTGCGTTAATTTTTTAATTTCCGCAAAGTGCGTGTGCTTTGGCACTGCTCAACCAGCCCCAAGCAGAATGGTGTCTTCCTTCCCTGGGCGGGGAAAGGGCTCAGTGACATGGACTATGGCCATAGCAACTGACTACCCGCAGGGCGGCTCTCCCCTCTCAGAGGAGTCTGCTCCTCCGGGGACAGAACTCGCCTTCTCACAGTGAGGATGAGCAATAGGGAGGAGCCTGAGACTCACTCTGAAGTGCGTTAGGTGATTTTTCTTTCCATTACTGGAGAAAAGAAATAACATGGAGTTACATGTGCCCTTAACCAAAGTCAAGTCGATACAATATAAATACCATTAAGAAGTTTCCAGAAATCATTTATCAATGAAAATGAGGTAGGACCTGTAAAATTAATATCCACCTACAAATATTATCACTATTTTCATTATAGATATTTTCTAGGGAATGCAACAACTTTATGAAGTGCATTAAATGGTGAAGCTTAAAAGGA